TGGCATAGAAAGCTAGGTCACATAAGTTATGCAAATCTTAGGAAACTACAAGAGATATGCCAAGGGACACCAGAAAGTGTGAGCAAGTGTAAAAATTTTAATATATGTTCAGTTTGTATGCAGGCCTAACAAGTGAGACCCATTTGATACAGAAAGAAGTAGGGCCGGAAAGCCATTAGAGATAATTCATAGTGACGTGTGTGGACCAATTGATCCCACCACTTATGAGAATAAGAAATATTTCCTCACGAGTGTGGATGATCATACACATTTTTGTAAGACATACCTGTTAGAAAATAAGAGTGAAGTGTGTACCTTTTTGAAGGAATATGTAAATGAAGCTGAGTGTCACTTCAATGCAAGAGTGAGAAGACGCGACAATGGAGGGGAATATAAGAACAACGCCTTGAGAGAATGGTGTAAGAACAAGGGGATTGTAATGGAATTTACTACACCATATTCACCACAGCTAAATGGCACTGCTGAAAGATGAACCATACCATTGTGGAAAAGGCAAGAGCATTGATTTTTGACTCAGATTTAAGTAAGAGGATGTGGGGTGAAGCTGTACTGACTTCTGCATACCTGCTAAACAGAAGTCTAACAGTGACAGTGAATGGAACGCCAGCGGAAAATTGGTATGGTAAAAGACCATATAAGGCTGGATTGAAGATTTTTGGTTCAGAAGTGTACACTAAAATTCTCGGATCATTGAAAAAGATGGACAGTCCTAGCAAGAAAGGAATATTCGTTGGATACAACACAAATGGCTACAGAATATGGGATCCAAATACTGAAAGGACCTATGTCTCCCGAGATGTGACATTCACAAGTAAGCCTGTGACAAAAAATAAACAAAAGGAAATGGAAAGAGTGACAGATCCAGAAGACGAGCCAAATACTCCAGATCAGGAAGATAGCGAAATGCAGCAAGAACCCGAAGCTGACAACAATGAAGAAGAACCAACAGATACTGAAGAAAATGAAAATGCTGACCACAAGGATAATGGAAGGAAAAACAATGGACAAAACGAACATGGATATGCATTGAGACCAAGAAGAAACATTCAAATGCACCCAAAGTACAGAGACTATCACACAGAGAGTCAAAAGGAGGGTATGCTCACCTATACATATGACGAGTGCATGGAGACCGGAGACAGCAAGAAGTGGAAGAAAGCCATTAAAGAGGAAAAGGATTCACTCTACCAAAACAAAACTTGGATATATGTAAACAGAGAGAAAGCAATGGGCAAGAAAATTCTGAGCAGTAAATGGGTTTTCAAAATAAAGGATGTTGGAAGACACAAAGCCAGTAGTGTCTACACTGGACACTACTATCGTCCAGCCTGTAGCCATCGCTGTACCGGCTCCCATATCCAAGTGGTGCCAGATTAGTATTCTTATGGGGGCGCGACTAAGTCCATTTGGTACTGCGGCCACTTCTGGCCTATTGTACCGGCCCCAATAACAGATGTTGGTGATTGTGGAGCAATTCGTGGAATGAAGACTGGCAGGGGAAACCGAAGTACTCGGAGAAAACCGGCCAATTTGTCCTTCACAAATCCCACATGACCAGAGTCGGGGTCGAACCCGGGCCGCCGCGGTGGGTAGCCAGCGACTAACCGCCTAAGCTATGACGCGGTCATTGAGTACCACATCATTTCATTTCATTATGCAGAAAAGCTGTTTACACGAGACTCGTCCCCATGTCAATGAATTTCCCAGTTACCACGGCTCATGGTCACTGTGCCAGTTGATTACGTAGTATGCCCTGCCGTCAAGAGATGATGATGCAATGCAGACCATCCTCACTGTTTGTACTTCCCATTTTAAGTTGAAATTGTTGCTAGAAAGAAGTAGATGGCGCTGTGCTACCGTTTATTCTCGGCTGTGGGGAATATGGGCACGAACTTCGCAGACAAGCGGCGGTCACTCAGTCGATATAGTTAGCTTGCGGACTCAAGCCACGGTGTTTGTATCTTTTTGCATGGGGAATACGGGAATCCGTATGTTGTTATAGGAATCGCCGGCCGTGAAGATGATGTGATGGCCGATAATTTAATGTGGGATGCAGATCACAGAGGGACCTGTTGCTTTTTACATATACTAAGTAAAAGGATTTTGAATAAATCAAATTCGAGGAATTTTACGGAATTTCAACAGATATGGCACACGGAACAGTTGCAGGCACTTGTAAGCTAAAAAATTGGTACAGAGTGGTCCATTACTGGAAATTGAGAACGGGCAAAATTAAAAAAAGAAATTGACGTTGCCGTCACAAAAAAAAATTATAGCCTCCGGGCATTATTTTGAGAATTGCCCCATGCAATGTTTAGGTAGCATGAAATGAATCTTATAGAAGAACCTAAATGTCCAAAAATTCTAGTGCCAAATCCCGCAGTTGGACATAGTCGTGGGCCAGTTTCTTCCACGTCACATTTCCATAATCTGTATATAAAAAACCCTTGTAGTTGCTCCTCAGTCTCACAAATAGTGGATTTCTAAGAGATTTATCGGAAGTGTTGAGAAAGTAAAGTGGATTAAAGTGGCTCTAGATAAGGTCTAATGGCGAGCTCTTGTGAAAATGTTATTGAATTTCCTAGACCCAAAATGGAGGGAAATTTTTGCTCAACAAAACAATCATTAGTTCCCGAAGCAGGACTCTATACCGTAGTGTTAATCATGATATAACAGGTCTTGGACCGAATAATGACATGTTTACAAAATTTGCCATTTGCCTAATTGACCTTAAACATCAATTTCATTTTATTTCTTTCAAGACACATTTTGAAACGCTTTCAAGTAACATACGACTTGTCAGATATGAGGTTCTCACCGCGATGAATATGAAGATTACTGCATTCTGGAATATGACACAATATAGTCTGGTAGAAATATCCTGACATTTCGGAGGAGCCAGCTGCCCCATTGTTCAGGATACTCACCCTAAGATAGTTAAGAACAACTCAGTGGCCTATAGTCCGCAAGTGAACTATACCGACCGAGCGACCGCCCCTTGTCGGCGAAGTTAGTGCCAACTTTAGCGGATAGAGGGTGGCGCGTGGTCTGCGTAACGGATCCCCATGGCCGTTAATCTCGGTTTTCTAGTCCAAAGCCGATATTTCCTTGAAATAGCTCATAAATTATCCTCACGAGGCTGAGTGGACCTCATTCCAGACCCACTATTTCTCAGAAAAACTGGTAGCACCGGGAATGGAACCCGGGACCTCTGGATCTGTAGCCAGGAACTCTAACCACTAGAGCCCACCCTAAGCTAGTTAGGGAATAAAACATATAGTTGGCAAAGCGGTGAAAATCCATCCTTAACACTGGCACTAGGTGGAATTTCGTGGCCAGTTCCGCTTTGCATGTGGACTCCAGAGTGGGTCTGCTTGCAGTGGCGAAAAGAAAGCTCATGAAGTCCCTCTTAAATCCTCCAGTCTCGAAGTTTATTGCGTCACGCGCAGTTTTTACGGTTTCCATATCTGTAAGACTCATTCTAACTTCTCGTATCGTTTCCAAGATACAGCACGCTGTACGAATTTCCTCCTTCCCTTCCTTGGCACAACGATAGACCTGCCTTATAGTAGGGAACCTTATCTTCCACTGAAAAATTATTTCCTTTTGACGACGGCATGGCGTGTCGTGGAGTGTGCTTCCTTTCCTTTGCGCTCTGTTTGGCGATTTTTGCATATTGCACAGCATCTGACGTTCTGGGATAGCTCAGTTTTTTAAATTCGCTTAGTGGGAGGTGAAGTCCGACTGGGTCCACTTGGCACAGTGGCCATTGATTGGCCTATTGTAGCCTGCCCCTGGTGATTACGATGATGGAGAATTTGGAGGAATTAAGATTGGCAGGGGAAACCGAAGTACTTGGAGAAAACCCGCCCCAGCACCACTTTGTCCACTACAAATCCCGCTTGACCAGACCCGGGCTTGAACCCGGGCCGCCGCGGTGGGAAGCCAGCGACTAATCGCTTGAGCTATGGCTCAGTTTCTATAGCGATTAGACTAATGACCAGGGCCCGGATTTTGATGACATGTCATCTTTTTTTCTTTATGTAGTAAACGTTGCTTTTAAGTACAGAAGCCCCGATTATGAACCTCTGGTTATAAAATGTGAATTTTATTGTGCATTTTATGTCATATTTTGTATGTTTTAAGTTTTAGGTCATTTTTACAAGTTTTTACGTCATTTTTCATCATTTTTTTCACGTTTTACATCAATTTTGGTTATCTTTCGCGTTTTTTAATAACTGACATTCATTGATCAGACTGAAGATATTTGTTTCGTGAGGTAGAAATCTATGTNATCAATTACTTCAAACGAAATCTCGGTATCATGAAAACATGTAAAGATCCTAATTTACACAGTCCGCATCTACCTGATTTTAAGAAAATTTAGAAATTAGTTTTTAAGTCACTTTTTTAAACTTTAGGTCATTTTTTAAACATTTTTTTGTTATTTTATAGATCATTTTTCAGATATTTTTAGGTCATCAAAATCCGGGCCCTGCTAATGGCTAAACCTGCCCAGTTGGACTCCACCCCCCCACTAAGCGAATTAAAAAAAAAATACTAAACGATCTAGAAGTCGGGGTTCGATTCCCCGCAAGGACAAGATTTTTTTAATCTTATCCATAACGTCATTAGCCACAAGACGTCTCCTCGTCCGAAAAGCTGAATGTGTGTGGAGCTAACAACGGAGCTCCATCAAGTGCAAAAATTGAGAATTGGGGAATCACACCTCTTGTCCCTTTGCGTCTTCAAGGCATGATGCCTAATTTCTTACCCCCATTGATAACTTTAACCTTCCGGAATTTCTCCAATGATTCACACATACAAGTAAATAAAGACTCGTGTTTGGGAAGGTGAACGCGTATATTGTCCATTCATCTGACCGCAAGAAAGGGGGAACAACAGCTACTGCCATAGCTCAGTCGTTTAAAAGGCTAACTACTGTCCCACATACGTAATCCAACACAGCTGCGAATAATTTCACGACTTTGACCCGTGTATTTTCGCACCGGGCAATGGAATACTTAACACGGCTTAACTCCGACAATGGCACTAGAAGGGATGGAGGGGGTAGAGAATGACGAAAGTTGATTGAAAGTGAAACGTAATTAGTTTGCTGGCACCATAGAGCTAGCGAGTCCTGTCAAATGAAAGACTTCCGCGCGCAAACCTGAAGGAAAAAATGGCGTGTGAAAGCGAAGAACATAGTGGACCGTAGTGGACTGACTGAAACGCGTGGTTAATAATGGTTAGACTTGTTAGATGTATACACTGATTGCAGTATTATTCTCCATCTACCTGGAAAACACATTACTGCAAAACACCACGAGGACTAAAGGAACACTGCAGAGAATAGTTACTGAATGACAAATTATCAACAGGTAGGTAGTGTAGTGTATCTGTATATTCCGGTTTAAAGTAAGAGTATACTGTTTTGAAACACGTTTCACGTTCTAAATGTGAAGCGAAATAGTTTACTAAACATTTGAAATGATGTATATACAACGTTGCATGAAATTCTGCGAAGTTGCAAGTTAAATGAAATGGAAAATGTGAACAAAAGGTATAAATTGCCAGGTAGTGATCAAATTCCGGCAGAACTGAATCAAGCAGGAGGTGAAATATTACGTTTTAAGATTCATAAGCTAATTAATTCTATTTGGAATAAGGAAGACTTGCCCGATTGGTGGAAGGAGTCTGTTATACCAGTTCACCAGAAGGGTGATAAAAATGAGTGTAGTAATTAGTGTGGGATATCATTCCTGTCAATTTCATGCAAAATTTTATCCAATATTCTGCTCTCAATGTTAAGTCCATATACGGATGAAATTTTTGGAGATCATCAGTATGGGTTTCAACATAAAAGATCAACTAGTGATCAAATCTTTTGCATTTGTTAGACTTTTTTTTCGCCGGCTCCACAGCCCCCTTCGGCCCTGGCCTCTTATTTTCATTTTCATGGTCATTTTACAGACGGTAGGACTCCCTCAACGAGGGATCAGCTCGTTTCAAGGCCTCTACCTAAACATAGGACAACACAGACAATAAAAAACATACACATACGTAACATCCATGCTTCGTGTGGGATTTGAACCCATGATCCAGGCTTCCAAGTGAGCGAAGGCAGTACATGCCTCAGACCACTCGGCTACTGTGACCAGCCCATATGTCAGATACTAGAGGAAAAGTAGGAGTACAATGAGACAGTACATCAGCAATTCCCAGACTTCAAGAAAGCCTAAGGGAAGTATTTTACAATATCCTCATAGAGCTTGGGGTACCCATGAAACTAGTTAGGCTGATTAAAATGTGTTTAAATGAAACATCTAGTAAAGTCCATATAGGTAAACATTTATCTGATAATTTTGTTATCCAGAATGGTCCAAAACAAGGAGATGCTTTATTGCCACTGCTTTTCAACTTTGCTTTAGAATGTGCCTTTAGGAAGGTCCATGAAAATGCGGTGGGATTGAAAGTAAATTGGGCACATCAGCTGCTGGTCTATGCTGATGATGTAAATCTACTGGGTGATAATATAGATACCATAAAGAGAAACATGAAGTCTTTAATTTACACCAGAAAGTAGATTGGTCTAGAAGTAAACACAGAGAAAACTAAGTACAGCAATACCTCGCATAGTCCAGGTAATCGGTTCTGCCAATGCCCCGGACTTTTTGAAATCAGACTAATCGAGGAACTAAATACATACAAAAAAGGATAATTGGTTAAAAAAATCTCCGTTTTACAATAAATAAAACGGAATTAATAAATTTAAATGTCTTTATTAGAAATAACTTTAAAAAATTAATGTTTATCGCAATTCACTTTTTATTCTCTAAAAATTGCAATTTGATGTCTGCACATTTTTCTTCTTTGGCCTTTTCTCTTCATACATTTCTTTGTAGCAAGATAAAAGTCAATGCGGAGCATGCCTCTTCAGTGCTATCTCCACCTCCTCCAGTGATAGCTGTCAGAGCTNAGAGCTCAAGAACGAATGACCCAAGCATAGGTAAATACATATAAAAGGGGGAAATCCAGAAAAAATTGAAATATGTATCGTATCGCATAACTTTAAAAAAACATAAAAATAAACTGTACAAAAAGAGACTTGACTGTATAAAGGAAAAAGACCAATCATTTATGTATTAAAAATAATTTTGTGTACTAATTTTTTAGAATTTATTTTTACGACTATTTTGCTCAATTAAAATTTAGTTTGTTTTGAAATTTTCAAACTGGACTATAGTGAATCAGGACTGATTGAAACTGGACCATGAGAGGTATTTATGTATATGTTGCTGTCTCTTCAGCAGAATGCAGGGTAAAATCATGACATAAAAGATAGGTAGCAGATGCTTTGAAAATGTGGCACAGTTCATATATTTTGGAATGACTATATCAAATCAAAACCTGATTCAAGGGGAAATTAAGAGGACATTGAACTTGAGTAATGCTTGCTACCATTTAATCCAGAACCTTTTGTCTTCTCGTCTGCTGTCAAAAAACATTATTAGAATATAGAAAACTATAATTTTGCCTGTGGTTCTATATGGGTGTGAAGCTTTGTCTCTGTCATTAAGGGAGGCACATAGATTGAGGGTGTTTGAGAACAGGGTGTTGAGGAGAATATCTGAACTGAAGAGGGATAAAGTGACAGGAGGTTGGAGAAAACTGCATAAGGAGCTTCATAACTTGTACTCTTCTCCAAGTATAATTAGAATGATCAAGTCAAGGAGGATGAGGTGGGCAGTGCATGTAGCATGAATGGGGGAGAAGGAGAATGCATATAGGATATTTCTGGAAAAGCCAGAAGGAAAGAGACCACCGGGAAGACCAATGTTAAAATGGATCTTAGAGAGACAGGTTGGGATGGCATGGAGTGGATTGGTCTGGCTGTTGATAGGGACAAGTGGAGGGCTCTTGTGAATGTGGTAATGAACCTTAAAGTTCCATAAAATTCTGGAAACTTGTTGAGTAGCTGCACAATTGCCGGCTTCTCAAGAAGGGCTAAGCTCTATGAGTGAGTGAGTGAACTCAATTTCTAATTATTATCTGTGTTGAATCTCTGGTTCTGACAGCAGTGACTTCGAGGAGTACGTTTTCTTGGGCCCACAAGGCATCTCGTTTGGAAAAATTCCAGAGTTTCTCAGGAACATTTGCTTTGTCATCATGGTCGAAGAGTAAGCAAAGTAAGAAACCTGTAGAAGCAGGCAGAGAATTACACAACCTGAAAACCCAGAAGACAGTACTATTCTAGGTCATCTGTTTTGAGCAACGCGAAATGTAGGTGTAAATGGTAATTTGTTGTGAAAGAGAAAAATGGCTGACCAATTAGGCCCTTGAAATTTAATGAAAATTGAATGATTATGAAACCAAAGCAAAATTTTATAATCACAATAGCTTCTGGTAAAATGTCTGATTCAGAAATACTGTGTGTGAAAAGTCACTTCAAAACCATGAGCAATCGCGGTAGGATGGGGGATTAGATATTTAATTTCTATTGATTTTTTAAAAATTAATAAATAGCAATAAGCAGCAATAAATATTAAGAGCATTTAAATAAAAGCATTCTGTTCTCAATACTCTATGACAGTTATTACAAATATTCTGAGCCACATCCTACACAAGTTTCTGAGCAAAATATATGGCTGCCCCCAGCACTGAAAAGATCCTAGGACCTCCCATCATCTCAGCTTCAGAAGAAAAAATTAATTTATAATTGGCTTTTTTCCATTTATTTTGGTGAACAAATTTATTTATCAAGTCAGCAGGCATAGATAAATTAGCGGACCCTTGCATGTCAAATACATGAAGCTGTTATTGTAAAAATTCTCCAGATATAACTCAAACAGTCTGTAACATGAGGGAATATAACCATGAGGGCTGCCAAGGTATCATTCACCAATGGATGGGGACCAGTTATCCCTGGAAAGGATAAGCAATGCTTAATGACATCTCCTTCCATGAATTCAGCCTTAACTTATATTCCTCACCCAACAGGCTAACATGAACTTGAGAAAGTATGAAACTTTATATATGGTTCTTAATACAAAGCAAAATTCTCATAATATCAGTTAATGAAGAAAATATCTTACACTGTCTTAAAGTGCTTTCACTTTTTTATTTCCATAATTACTGGTTCGGTCTAAAACACTTCAAACAAAACTGATAGCACTAAACACAGTGTAAGCATGTAGTCAGAACCTTTTAATGGAGGTCCTTAAATTCATATCTTGCTATCGTCATCATTGTAAATTCTAAGGTAATTGAAATGTTTGATGTGATTTAATTTCCAGAAGAGAGGTGATGCACCAGAAATCTTTTGCTCTGTCCTGCTTTGGCCAGTGAAGGATGTCAGTTCACTTGGAAACAGTATGAGTTAACAGTGAAGGAAATGCTATTTTTCTTATGAATGTGCTTGTCTAAACAATTAGGGACTGTCCAGGTGTAACGAGTATTAAACAGTACCAACTTGGAGGAGCACTAATGCTGCGGTAGGTGGTTGGACAGCCAGGTAATATAAGATTTCATTAGAAACTTGTGAATACATACAGGGGATAAGCACGTGCGAAATAATCATTTACCAAACATGGGCAATTTGGAAGCATAGCCAGACGTACATTTACATTGTGATGAGCAGAATTTCAGAACTGTGTCTGTCTCACACGAACTTTTGCATCATTCATTGTTACACCCCCTCGCCACGGTGAGGCACAGGACATTGAGGGGGGGATATGAAATCCTGTCTTATGTTCAGGATTTCATACCCGAAATGAAGAACATGAGGTGAACCTCTTCGCAGTGCTGCTGCTGCCCTAATAAGCATCCACTGAGTGCACTCTTCACTTAGGACTGTGTTGAGACAGAGTCACAGTGTGTGCTTACAGGAGCAATAACAGTATGGTTCAGAGCACCGGTCCAAAACTCTTCATTTCACCTATCTGGATCCCATGACCCCCTTCTTTTCTTTCTGCCTTCCTCCCTCCCTCATCCCATCTATCTCATAGAACAGCGTGACAATCAAGACCTGAAGGCCTTAGTTTGAATAGAGTCAAAACCTACACACTTTCTCAATTTTCTCACATAAAATTTGGGACCATACACTGTTTCTATTGCTGTGCCCCTTCCGACCCCCGCCACCCATCATAACCAGGTTGCGCTTGCTCAATTACACCACTTAAATTACCTTCATGGTAGTGCAAACCATCCTACAACCACAAATTTTAATTTCTATTTTGAGTGATGTGAGCTCAGATTCTGCGTTCCCCTGTAATGTGTTACTAATTATCTTCTTTCCAATTGCCGAGTTTTATGCTAGTCCTCATTTCTATTTGGACAAAATTCACTAAACTGGACCACTTTAAGACCTGACAACCCCAATGCCTTGCATAATTTATACAATCACGTACAAAAACACCAATTGAGACATGGGCCTATACCCATTAGATACGTTTTCATATTTGCAAACATCCAGAAAACTGCAAGAGCAGACACTGACCAAAAATATCTCTAGTAAGAGCAGTGAGTTTGCTTATGGGAACCATAGTCTTATGAATAACACGAAAATTATAAACATGCAGATCACTTCATGTTAGTGTTTGCCGGCCATGCTTGTAAAATAGAAGAAGAGTTTCAGTTAATTTGTTAGTCAGTTAGACAGTGATTCAGTCAGATTGCTGGTTGATATAGAACATGCTATGTGATAAATGATCTGCATGTTTGTACGTGTGTGCTGTCATGATGACTTAACTTTCTTAGAGAACATTCATGATTATACAAGAACAATAATAATCTTGGCATATCTTTCACAACATATCAGCAGTGTAACTTGGCTCTTGTAGTTGGTGGAATACTGAATTTTACCATATAGGAGGTTGAATATTAATATTATCAAGTAGCTAAGATACAATTTTTAGCTCCCATACTCGAACACCAGGGAAGTCTGAAGTTTTGCTTATTTTGTCTTTACATGTTTAGATGGCAGATAGGCAGTGAAAAGATTCAGAACAAAATGGTAGCAAGCTTTTCCCAAACACCCTCTTCGCCCATTCCTGATTTCTTCATAAATGCATATTTCATTCCGTAATAATGCTCCCAGATGTGTGGACTCTTCCATGTATTTGTAAACACTGTCAGGTATCTTTACATCTGAATTTGTCCCTTGTTCTGGTGATGAAAAATGAACACGCTTCCAATCCGAGAGAATCCATGATGTCTGGGTGACAGATGATCTACTTCAAGTAACCCCCTACAATAANTTTAACTTTCTTAGAGACCATTCATGATTATACAAGAACAATAATAATCTTGGCATATCTTTC